CCCTTTCAGACCTAGCCATACCAATTGTGAGATCTGTTTTTATTTGTCTTAAATTATATGAACAAAAAATTTTTCTTGTGTTAACCGGGAAGCAGTGATTGTGCGCACTCTTTTTCGTTTGAAATGAAAGAAAAAATGAACACTTCGACGAGAAATAACGGAATACAGCTTCAGTTTGAATGTGTCGTTAAGCAGGCAAAGACATGCGTCCTCGTGGTGAGTGTTTTTATTAGTTATTATTAAATAAACTTTGCATTTAACTAGTGGCAACAGTTGACAATGAGCCTATGTATATATTGATTGACTTTTTTAAGATAAATTTTTTAAAATTGCAATTTATTTGAATGGTGTAAAAAACAGATATCACAATTGTGCTGCTCAGGCACAAGATGCAGTTTTGTTGTATGCTCACGATTGTGCTATCTTATTATTTTCTAGGAAAATTTTCCGATTTGAGCAGCAATGATGATATTGAAGCAGTTTAAGACATTTTAAATCAATCTGATATAGACTTCAGTGATGATGATGACGATGCTGATGAAACTTGGACTTCTTTTAATCTTAACACTGGTGCAGAGGAGAGTGACGAAAGTACGGATAACGACGATATTTTTGCATCTTCAAATGACGAACCAAGTACGGAAGTTGAGCAATTAAACTCTACAGCCCCAGCTACCATACAATCATCATCGAATAGTATATACAAAGCACCTCAGAGGCGAGAAATATGGAAAAACGTACCATTTCCTAACACAGAGCTTCCTATAACGGCTGGTTACCAAAATCAAGTAGCTGTGAAATCACCATTAGAATATCTGAAGAGCTATTTTCCAGAATCTCATTATGAAGATGTCGTAAAACAAACTAAAATGTATGTATTGGCAAAGCGTGGTCAGGAGGTGCGTTATGTATCAGCCGATATAAAAAGATTCTACGGATGTGCGATTATAATGGGGTGTCTTGGTTACCCTGCTATAAGAATGTACTGGTCGAATGAATGCAGGATTCCTGCTATATTTAATTCCATGTCTCGTGACAAATTCCTCCAACTTCGATCAGACATACACTTTGAAGACTTCTCTGTTCCAGACACGGCAAATAAACTTTAGAGAGTTCAATCAATTATCGAGACGGTAAGAAAGC